CCGCACAGAACCCCCATGACAACAGAAAATACTGTTTTTACAAGGTCTTTATTTCTCTATGGAGCCTCACTAAACTACAGCTCCCAGAACTCCATTGCATTGAGCCAAGGCAGTTAAAGAGGTGTTGAGCTGCACTCATTCTGTAGTGTTGATGCATAAATTTCCATAAATTTCTATAGGTTTTCCAACTATCTCGCAATTTCATGGGAAACTTTCAGTGCAAAGTCATTGTCTCTCCATCTCTCTCCCTCTCTTCCCAAGTATAAAAGCCTTACCTGTTTTGCAAATGGAGTTTTCTCTCTTCCTTGCTTTCCTTTCTTAATTTACCGCTGTCTCTCTAGTAGGCGTCCTTGGTTGCTAGGGTAAACAGCCACTCCGGAGTGGCAGTTGCAGCGACCAATGAGCATTCTTTACATTTAGCCTACCCTGCTGAAACATGATTGGACGTTTTTGTTACACAGCACAGCAAACTACTGTAGCCTCTGGAGAAGGCTGCAGTCTGCCTTCTCCATAGGAAATCAGAAGACGATTCCTTCTTGGGAGGAGAGTAATGAGGAAGGAAGAAGAGGGCACCAATCTTGATAAAAGAGTAGAGACATCACATTGGCAACAGAGATCCGCATAGTTAAAGGCTTGCAATGGTATTCCCTGTAGTAACCTATGGATGTGAGAGCTGGACCATAAGGAAGGCTGAGAGAAGGAAGATAGGTACTTTTGAACTGTGGTGCTGGAGGAAAGTTCTGAGAGTGACTTGGACCAGGAGAAGATCCAACTAGTCCACACTTCAGGAAATAAAGCCTGACTGCTCATTGGAGAGAAAGATAGTAGAGTCAAAGATGAAGTACTTTGGCCACATCATGAGAAGACAGGAAAGCTTAGAGAAGACAATGATGCTGGGGAAAATGGAAGGAAAAAGGAAGAGGAGCTGACCAAGGGCAAGATGGATGGATGGTGTCTTTGAAGTGACTGGCTTGACCTTGAAGGAGCTGGGGGTGGTGATGGCCAATAGGGAGCTCTGGCATAGGCTGGTCCATGAGGTCACGAAGAGTTGGAAGCAACTGAACAAATAAACAACAACATGGAGAAGAGAGTGGATTACAAATACCAGGAGGTGCGGCTGTAGCCCTTCCATAGCCTCCAGTAAAAGAAGAGGGCACAATGCATCATGGGAATTGTTGTCTTCTTTTAATACAGCTTTGTGGGATTTTTTCCATCGATAAAGAAGCAAAATGCTGTGGTAAAATTTTTGTATAGAGCCCCTCCTCCTTCTTAGGTAAAGGCAAAGGTTTTCCCCTGACATTAAGTCCAGTTGTATCCAACTCTGGGGTGTGGTGCTCATCTCCATTTCTAAGCCAAAGAGCTGGCGTTGTCCATAGACACCTCCAAGGTCATGTGGCCAGCATGACTGCATGGAGCTCCGTTACCTTCTCGCCAGAGTGGTACCTATTGATCTCACATTTGCATGTTTTCAAACTGCTAGGTTGGCAGAAGCTGGGGCTGACAGAGGAAGCTCATGCCACTCTCTGGATTTGAACCTGTAACCTTTTAGTCAACAAGCTCAGCAGCTCAGTGGTTTAATCCACTGCACACCAGGGGCTCCTCCTTATATCACGCCAAATAAATATACTAACACATATCTGTTTTCAAATGCCCTTTCCTGACTGAAGCAAGGCCTTTTTTGCAACACTATCTATCTACACCATTCCCTTCTGTAACAGTATCCCTTCTGTCCTCCTGCTTATGGCAGACTTGCAATGGAAAGACTGGTTCTTTCTAACTCGTCTAATAACTGTAATAATGCAATGATGCTTGAACTTGATTATAACTCTGATTTCCGAAGGTACGGTCAAAGGGAGCTATTCAAGGAAGGCCTCCTCCTCCCGAGGTTCATAATTGTAACTTTGTGACTGAAAAGGACATTTCATTAAACATACAACACACCAAACACTGGCTCTATGTTTCTGCATCCGGGAAATGAGGTAGGATGGATAATAAATACTCAGGCCCCTTCCACACAGCTGTATAAAATACACATTTTTTAATTTTATTATTACATAGATTTCTATCCCACCCTTCTCCCCACAAGGGAACTCAGGGCGGCCTTACATAAGCATCCAATGATGCTATCAACATATACACCAATAAAATTACAATTAAAACAATAAAATCAATTTAAAACATTATACATTATACAGATTCAACAAATACATTCATTAACCATAAATTAACATTGAACTGGAGTATATGGCAGTATGGACTCAGATAACCCAGTTCAAAGGAGATATTCTGGATTATCTGTCTTGATATTCTGGATTATAAGGGCCCTCAGATAAACCTAAATCCATTGGTTTGTGGTTGTTGTGGGCCTTCAGGTCATTTCCAGCTAATGGCAACCCTATCACAGGCCTTTCTTGGCAAGATTTGTTCAGAAGAGTTTTCCTGTTTCCTTCCTTTGAGGCTGAGAGAATGTGGGCCCTTCCACACAGCCCTGCATCCCAGAATATCAAGGCAGTATATCCCACTATATCTGCTTTGAACTGGGTTATCTGAGTCCACACTTAGATAATGTGAGATGTCCTGCCTTATTGTTCTGGGATATAGGGCCGTGTGGAAGGGCCCTATGACAGGGTCACCCAGTGGATTTCACGGCTGAGTCTTCATGCTCATAGTTGGAGCCCTCGGTGGTGCAATGGGTTAAACCCATTGTTGGTCCTGACACGAAAGGACAGCAGTTTGAATCTGGGGAGCTCCCATCTGTCAGCTCCAGCTTCTTATGTGGGGACATGAGCAAAGCCTCCCATAGGATAGTAAAACATCCGGGCATCCCCTGGGCAACGTACTTGCAGATGGCCAATTCTCTCACACCAGAAGCAACTTGCAGTTTCTCAAGTTGGTCCTGACACGGAAAAAAATGCTCATAGTCCAACTCTCAAAACACTACACAACACTGCCTCCTAGTCCCAACTGAACAGATACTCAATCAAATGCAGAATAAGTAATATCAAACTTACTGTTATTTGCATGAACATGAGTGTATGTAATAAAAACAAAAGAAGCTTCTACATTTTGCTGCTCAATGATTTGGTGTGATGGGATGTTTTTAGATCTAGAGAAGTGTCAGAAATCTCAAGGGCATTTGGGCAGATATGCTTTTTTCCGGCTTGCATCATATGCAAAGGAAGCAGGGCTGGAACGCTTTGCTGAATCCAGTTATGTAAGCTAGAAACAAAACCAAATAACCTTAAATTTAAGGTTATACAGCTTTAATATAGTACTCGTTTCCTTGAAGATTACTTAGGAATTTCAGTAGTTACAGCACAAATGATACCCTACTGACATTCCCCATTTATGAGTCAAAGAGTGCATCTATGTTACAGAATTAATGCAGTTTGGCTCAGTGCGAGGAGATCATGGGAGCTGTAGTTTTAGAAGACCTTTAGTCTTCTCTGCCAAAGAGTGCTGGTGCCTCACCAAACGACAACTCCCAGGATCCCATAGCATTGAGCCTTGGCTACTAAAGTGGTGTCAAGCTGCATTAATTCTATAGTGTGTAGATACACTAAAGAGAAACTGTACCACTGCCCCAGCATGAACTATTACCCCTTGAGTGAAACTCAAGAGTATTGAATATCTTTTTATATTTATAGAGAACACTACATGCCCAAGGCAATGCAAAAATGAATAATAAATAGTAAAATATAATAACAGCTAAAAAAAACCCAAAAAGTTAACAGAAAAATGGCACATTACAGTGCAGATGGAAACCTAACAAATAGAACAAATGGGGGAGGGGGTTTGTTTGCTTGGGCCCCTTCTACACAACCACATAAAATCCAGATTATCTGCTCTGAACTGGATGATATGGCAACGTAGACTCAGATAATCCAGTTCCAAGCAGCTAATGTGGGTTATCTGCCTTGATATTCTGGGTTATATGGCTGTGTGGAAAGGCTCCTTCTACACACCTGTATAAAATCCAGATTGTCCGATTTAAACAGGACTATATGGCAGTGTAGACTCAGATAATCCAGTTTAAAACAGAGAATATGGATTATCTGCCTTGATATTCTGGGATCTATAGCTGTGTGGAAGGGTCTTTAGGTTCCTTCTACACACCTGTATAAAATCCAGATTATCTGATTTAAACTGGATGATATGGCAGTGTAGACTCAGATAATTCAGGTCAAAGCAGATAATGTGGGTTATCTGCCTTGATATTCTGGATTATATGGCTTTATGGAAGGGCCCTTAGGCTCCTTCTACACAGCCTTATGAAATTCAGATTACCTGATTTGAACTGGATTATATGGCAGTGTAGACTCAGATAATCCAGTTCAAAGCAGATAATGTGGATTATCTGTTTTACTACGAGGGATTATATGGCAGTGTAGAAGAGACCTCTTTCTCTCACCCTGGACATGTAAGGACAATGTCATTATTTCATCCAGTTTAAAGAGGCATTGACATATATTGTCAAAGGCTTTCAATCAGGGCCAGCTACAACCTCCCAACAAAGGATTCCCCCAGGCAGGAAGCAGACAGACTTTGAAGCTGCAAGGCTATTAAATGCAAATCAAGGTAACCAATTGCCTCCAACAGACAAGAGTTCTTTCTCCCACCCTGGACATTCCAGAGATATATTGCCTAGTTTCCAACAGACCTCACAACCTCTGAGGATGCCTGCCGTAGATGCAGGTGAAACGTCAGGAGAGAATGCTTCTGGAACATGGTCGGACAGCCCGGAAAACAACTCACAGAACTCAAGGTGAGAGACCTTGAGAAACGACCACTCCAATGCTCAGCTGCATGCATTCTAACAGTGGAGGTGCATTCCAGTGCCCTGTGTTGCTGGTGGAGTTTGGAGAAGACCTTGCCAAGCCATGGCAGTGACAAACAGTGGAGACACACTCAGAGAGGCGGATGCCATTGGCTGTGGGAGGAGGAGGAGGAGGAAGGAGCGGTGCGGCAGGAGCCGGCTTGAGTCACGTGATGCCGCTGCCGCTGCCGCCGCCGCCTCCGCAGTCGCTGCGCTGAGCGCTGCAAAGCCGGGACCGTCGCTCCTCGTGCAGACAGACTCAAAGCCTCCGAGGCGATGAAGCCGGGCTCCCTCTGAAGGTGGTGCTGCCGCCCGCTTTGCCTCCCGCAGGTGAGTGCATGGCCTCCTCCAGGCATCAGGTGTCTTCCTGCTCTGCTTTTCCCAAGGGCGGCTTGGGGGAAGGCAGCGCGCCCGGCCTTCTCCGTGGGTTAGTCACTCGCCGCGCGTGGGGAAAAAGCTCATCAGATCAAGAGGGATGCGCCGCCTCCAAAGGGCTCCTTCGTGGACCCCGGAGAGGAGCCCACACTCAGGTGCGCCGAGAGAAAGAGGGGCAATCTGTGCATGCTTTGGCTTGGAGGGCTTCGGCACCAGGCCTGGGCCAACTTGGGCCCTCCAGGTGTTTTGGACTCCGACTCCCACCATTCCTAACAGCCGGTAGGCTGTTAGGAATGGTGGGAGTTGGAGTCCAAAACACCTGGAGGGCCCAAGTTGGCCCAGGCCTGATCTACACTATGGAATGAACGCAGCTCCACACTTTCAGCTACCCTTTCTCAATGCTATGCTATCCTGGGAGTTGTAGTTTCCTGAGCTTTGGCAGAGAAGGATCAAGACCTTGTAAAACTACAACCCCCCCAGGATTCTCTAGCATTGAGCCCTGGCCGTTCAAGTGATGTCAAACTGCAGTGTAAACTGTGAAGACATTGCCATATCAAATCCAGTTTGTTCTCTTTAACCTGGATTATATGATAGTGTAGTTTTAGGGCCCTTCTACACTACCATATAATCCAGAATATCAAGGCACATAATCCACATTATCTGCTTTCAATAGCCCTTCCTATATCCCAGGATCCGACCCCAGGTTTTCTGTTTATCCCAGATTATCTGGGATAATCTTATTTTATAATAATATTATATTATCTGGGATAATAAGGAGCCCCCGGGGGCACATTGGGTTAAACCCCTGTGCCGGAAGGATTGAAGACCGACAGGTCGCAGGTTCGAAACCAAGGAGAGCACGGATGAGCTCCCTCTATCAGCTCCAGCTCCCCACGTGGGGACATGAGAGAAGCCTCCTACAAGGATGATAAAACATCAAAACATCCGGACATCCCCTGGGCAATGTCCTTGCAGACGGCCAATTCTCTCACCCGCATGCGACTTGCAGTTTCTCAAGTTGCTCCTGACATGACTCATATAATCCAGTTTAAAGCAAAACAAAAAAATCTGGGATCAGATCCTGGGATATAGGGCCTATCTGGGGCCCCTTTCACACAGCTGAATTAAATCCCACATTATCTGCTTTGAACTGGATTATATGGCAGTGCGGACTCAGATAACTAGGGGCCCTTCCACATAGTCCTATAACCCAGAATATCAAGGCAGAAAATCCCACAATATCTGTTTTGAACTGGGTTATCTGAGTCCACACTGCCATATATTCCACTTCAAAGCAGATATTGCCTTGATATTGTGGGATATAGGGCTGTGTGGAAGGGACTCCAGTTCAAAGCAGATATTGTGGGATTTTCTGCCATGACATTCTGGATTATATTGCTGTGTAGAAGGGCTCTGAGTCTACAATGCCATATAATTCAGTTCAAAGCAGAGAATCTGTATATTATACTGCCGTGAAGAAGGGGCTTTAGATTGGATTTCCACTGCCCTATAACCCAGGATCTGAACCCATATTATCTTCGTATCCCAGATTAATAAATAAAGTTTATTATTATTATTATTATTATTATTATTATTATTATTTGAAACATAACAGGCTGAGTCCACAGCAGACACTCTGCTGGCTGTTGTATTGGATCACACATCGGACACTTCCCAAATGTCTAGGACTTTGTGATGTATTGGCGAATAATGTGTGCAGATCCCAGTAAGGTGGGCTTCTGCAACTGGCAGATGGTAATTTTGTTAGCGCTGATTGTGTTTAAGTGCAGGCCAATGTCTTTAGGCACTGCACCCAGTGTGCCGATCACCACTGGGACCACCTTGACTGGCTTGTGCCAGAGTCGTCGTCGCCTCCTCCTCCTCCTCCTCCTCCTCCTCCTTCTTCTTTTCTTCCTATTATTATTATTGTTGTTGTTGTTGTTGTTGTTGTTGTTGTTGTTGTCTGGAAGTGTTTAATCCAGTGTAAAACAGATAATCTCAGTTCAAATCCTGGAATATAAAGCAGTGTAGAAAGGGTTTTCGGCCCCATCTAGGCTGCTATATAAAATCCAGATTCTCTGTTTTGAACTGGATTCTATGGCAGTGTGGACTGCTATATAATCTAGGTCAGGGGTCCTCAAACTAAGGCCCGGGGGCCGGATGCGGCCCTCCAAAGTCATTTACCCGGCCCTCGCTCAGGATCAACCTAAGTCTGAAACGACTTGAAAGCACACAACAACAATTACAACAATCCTATCTCATGAGCCAAAAGTAGGCCCACACTTCCCATTGAGATACTAATAAGTTTATATTTATTAAATTGTTCTTCATTTTAATTATTGTGTTGTTTTTAAGTGATTTTTCCACTACAAATAAGATATGTGGTATGTATAGGAATTCATTCATGTTTTTTTCAAATTATAATCCGGCCCTCCAACAGTTTGAGGAACTGTGACCTGGCCCTCTGTTTAAAAAGTTTGTGGACCCCTGATCTAGGTTCTCAAAGCAGACAATCTACATTATCTGCTTTGAACTGAATTATATGAGTCTCCAGTGCTTTATAATCCAGTTCAAAACAGATAATCTGGGATCAGATCCTGAGATATAAAGTGTTGATCCAGCCTAAAGCCCCACTGCCATATAAAATCCAGATTATCTGCTTTGAACTGGATTATGCAGTGTAGACTCATATAATCCAGTTCAAAGCAGATAATCTGGATTTTGTATGGCACTGTAGATGGGGTTTCAGGGTGCATCTGCATTTAACTGCCATAATGCTATGGGAACCTGGGAGTTGTAGTTTGCTGAAGCTCCAGCAGTCTTTGGCAGAGAAGGCTAAGGACTTTGTTAAACTACATGTTCCACTTTTTTTTAACACTGAGCCATGGCAGTTAACATGTTGTCAACCTTCATACATTCTACTGTGTAGATGGACTTTAATTCATTTTATTTGATGTAATCTTTCGCAGCTTGTGGCCCCTTCCACAGAGTTGTATAAAATCCACATTGAATGGGATTATATGACAATGTGGATTTAGATAACCCAGTTCAAAGAAGATAATGTGGATTATCTGCCTTGATATTCTGGGTTGCATGGCTGTGTGGAAGGGCCCTTTGATACCTGATGAATTGCACTTTGTTGTGTGTGCCTTAGGGTACTCATAAATCAGAAATGACTTGAAGGCACACAACAACAACAATTTTAAACACTTTAAACTGATCAGGGGATATCCTTGTTAGTCAGATAATGTAACAGAGCTGCTTATTTGTGTTCTGGGTGCATTTACTTAGATGATTGATAGCTAGGAAATTATGTACAGTATTTATAAATGCTGCAAAAGGGAGGCATTTGTGGATGATTCTTCTATCACACTCAGGGCACATATAACTGTCACCCAAATACCAAGGTGCTATATGTCTCAGATCAAAAGGTTTTCTTTTAGTCATATGCAAATTTATTAACTGATTAATTTTGGGAAATTCAGGCTATTTCTGCTTTGCCATATAATCCCTTGGTGTCTTATTGGACCCTCTGCTTGCAATGGAGGCCTAGGTCTCTGCTGTGAGCAGATCTGCGTTTTTCCACCTACGTCAGGCTAGGCTCCCTTCCTATCTAGGAATGGCCTGGCTACGGTGATCCAGGCGACGGTCATCTTGAGGCTTGACTACTGTAACGCCCTCTACATTGGCCTTCCTTTGTCAGTGATCTGGAAACTGAAGCTGGTGCAAAATGCGGCGGCTCGTCTTCTCGCCAGGGTGCCGGCGAGGTGTCGTATCACCCGAATTCTACAACAGCTGTACTGGCTTCCGATCGAGTACCGGATTACTATCAAGGTGCTGGTACTAAGCTTTAAGGCCTTATATGTTCTGGGGCCGGTGTACCTGAGGGCCCGCTTATCCCCCTACCAACCCCAGAGATTGCTTTGGTCCGAGAACCAAAATTTGCTTGAAGTCCCCAACATCCGGACATATCATCTGTCCTCTACTAGGCAGAGAGCTTTCTCGATTGCGGCCCCTTATTTATGGAATGCTTGCCAGTTGAAACCCGAACCATCCGAGAGCTACTTGCTTTTCGGAAAGCCTATAAGACCTTTCTTTTTCGACAAGCTTTCGATGGATGAATAACTTGGGACTATGCTGCTTCTCGTTTTAATTGTATTTTAAAGTTGGTTGTATTGTTTAATCTACTGCTGTAAACCGCTCCGAGCCAAATTGGGAGTGGCGGTATACAAGTCTAATAAATAAATAAATAAATAAATAAATAAAGCATAAAATTCATATTATCTTCTTTGAACTGGATTATATGAGTCTACACTGCCATATAATCCATTTCAAAACAGATAATCTGGATTTTATATGGCAATGTAGCCTGCAAACAGTAAAGTTTTGGATTTAGAGTGAATTCTACTTTATATTTCAGTAATGCTAACTGCTGGTGCCTTTTCCTTAAATATCATTTGCACCAACCTTTGTGGGGAATGTTGACACTTCCTGATTGTTATCAAGTATCCAGTTGAAAGAGGATAGTGCTGTATTAATGCATGTGATTAAGTCACAGGACTGCAAAGCACCTTTCCGAAGTGCAACCTTCTGGGGAGCGTAGTTTCACGTGCCTATGATGTGAAGTGAATGGACGTAGTGTTTGTTCAATTTAGTGAAAGGAGGAAGAATGTTGCAGAGCGTCTCTTCTAAACAAAATTAAGGGCACAAGACTGGTTTGGACAACCTCTTTGGCCCTTTTATCTTAACTTTTGCAAGAGTTTATTGCAGTGGACTTTAGTTGCTGGCTAAGGCAGAGCTCTGAAAAGTGACTTTTCTGTAACCTTTGGTCATTTTGGAAGCTGTACTTCCAAAAGTAATTTTTCTCAGCTTTGGGCAAGAACAGGAGATGAGAACAGATGGTATCAGATACCAAAGCCCATCCACCCAATGGTCATCCTCAGGATGGAGCTGCA